TATTTAAAGCACAATTATAAAAGGAAAAATTCTTTATAAGGAAAGACTGGTATTTTTAAAAATAAATTATCCAACAAGTATTTATTAAGCACCTACTACATGCCAGGACCTGCAGTGGATGCTGGAGATACAAAGGGGGAAATGAAACACTTTTTACTCTCAAGGTGCTTTCTATTGGGGAGACAACACATACACAACATACTCAGAGACAGCACTTAGCACATTGCCTGGCACATAGTAGGTGCTTAATAAATGCTTATTGACTATGTAAATGAAAACAACACTAGCAGGCATCAGAATTCAGATTACATTCAATTTCCTTTTTCTCAGAGAACTAATGATGAAAGGCTGAAATTTTAAATACAAGTAAGTAGTTGCATCAACTACCTAAGCTGGAATTGATTGTTTGTCACCATTTATAAGTCTTAGCAAGTTAGAATAGGCCTTTGCTGGGCAAGATATAGGTAAGATATACACTGTCTACATGGCACCCAGAGGATGAATGTCCAAGGTGAATGGGAAAGGAAGAAAGAGAATGGAATATAAGTTTGATATGGAATAATCCTATTAATATAGTAGAGAAGGAAGTGCCCCTGGAATGCAGGGCAGATAAAGAACAGTTATGGTCAACATCCCAGAGAGTGAATCACCTTCCCTTCCAGGCTGGAGCAACCTTCAGTAAAGCACACAAACAAGTTAAAGCAGAGGTTCCACTCATGATGTTTGCAAATATCACCATTCAGCAAGAGGAGAATAATTATGCATAAAATATCACTTAAATTCTGGATGATAGGATCCTAAAAGTTCTCAACAATCTAAAATGTTGGTATGAATCTGATAAGATTAATTTAAAAGAGATAAATTTGAAGTCTTACATTTGAATTTTTTTAAAAAATCAGCTTCACAAAACAGGAAAGGTATGGCTACATAAAAGTTCATTTGAAAAAGATCTAGATCTTAGTGGACCATAAGCTTGATATGAGTCAATGCTGAACTATCAGAGCTAAGAAAGCTATCAAAACCCTAAATTGCATTTACAGACTCATGTAAGCCAGAATGTGGGATGTCTACTATACTCTACTTAGAACACGGAGTATCATGTTCGATTCTGGATGCTGAATTTTATGAAAGACATTAACAATCTGAGAAATGGCCACAGAATAGCCACCAGGTTGGTGAAGAGCAACAGTTTGTCATATGAGAAGTAAAACAACTGAGGAGCATTAATAGGGAGAAAAGATGATTTAAGGGAGGCCTGATAGATGTCTCCAAATGTTTTAAGAGCTGTTGTGATGAAGAGGAATCGACAAGTAGAACTGATTAGTAGAAGTTGAGTAAGACAGATTTAGTCTTGATATAAGGAAAAAACCTCCCTAACAATTAGAATTATCCAAAAGTAGAATGGACTGCCTCAGAATGTAATGGGTTCTACCCTAGCCTTCAAGCAAATCTGAAACCACTTATTGCAGACATCACTTTCATTCAGTTATGGATAGGATTCAACGGCCTCTGAATTCCCTTCCAGTGCTGATACTGTATGAAATATAAGAAGGCAGATTTGTGTTGTAGCTGGGCAGCTGCATTAAAGTAGCTTGGATTTACCAAGTGTCTACCCTTTCCTATGAACTTTAGTGTATTCTGATGATGTTCCAACCTTCATTGAGGAAAGTAAGATGATCTAGCTTGTATGTCCTTCTTGTCTCTATATGATAGGATTGAAATGTCACTGTGGATTTGAGATACAGCTAGCACCATTTTGGAATAATTTGTGTGCATTTTTGTTCATCAAATACCATGTACCTGCTTATCACTGTCAGTGACTATTCTTACTATCAGGTCATGGAAGTTATTAACTTAAATCACAATGACTGGGTAATACATTAATTAAAGCTGTAGAAAACTAAATTCAGAGAAGACTTCAATAGGACTATTTGTTTTAAAATTATGTTATGTATTTATCACAGTTGAGATTGGTCAATACCCACATCATTGTATAAGGAAAAGCTTTATTGTAATTGCTAAATTAAGCTAATGTTGTTTACAGCATGCTACAGTAGAAAGAACACTAGGCTTGGAGTAAAAATATAACCCTCATCAGTAAAATGGGTCTAACATATTTGTACTACACAAAAGGGGTCAAACATGTGGTGTTTTTGTTACAATGGGGCCTGTAACTCTTCCCAGTTCTACTTGAACCAAATTTAAAATGTAATTGAAAAATAGTTAATAAGTAAAACCCACAATAGAACATAGACAATATTAATATATAGTTTTCTAAATCAATAATGAAGCTTGCAGGAATCCTTATGTATGGTGGCTCTTGTTTCTATTTGAGTTTGACACCATTTCACTACACTACTGACCTACCTCACAGGATTATCATGAGATAAGTGCTTGTAGATATTGTAATAAGTACTATGTAACTATGAGCTATTAGCATTTCACAGTAGGGGGCTTAACTCAGAAAATGTTGTCAAGTGCACATTTCTCTGATAGAGACAAAAGACATTCCAAAGAAATATGTAGCCTTCAGAAGAAACGTGTAAAAAATAAAATTTACAACAAATGTATTTTCTAATTGTTCTTCACCACTCCAAACATTATTAACACAATAAAATTGATCATCCTTAAAATATATATACAATGTAGAATAATTGCCATGAAAGTTTCCATGGGTTAGTTTTTGATGGAGTACCTCATTGTCCTATGACTAGTCAGGAATGTGTAACCTCCAAAAACCTCAAGAAATCTGCTGAATATTCTGGTCCATTTATCAATAGAGAGATGCTGCACAATGAGTAGGCTATGGACATTCAAAGAGCAGACATGAATCAAATACAGTTCTCAGAACTCAGGGTAACCCTAGCCCTGGTTTCTAAAAATTGTGTGTGGTCTCTTTGTTAAAAGATTTTTTTGAGGAGGAAAATGTTCAGCTACAAAAAAAAGAAGAAAAAAGTCTAAGTCTAAATGGGGGCTGAGCTAACAGAAGAGTAAAAATGGAGTTCTCCTTTCAATTAAATACTGACATATTTTACTTATACATTACTTTAAATTTTAGGATGCTTTCTTGTGGTACTGATGTCTGCTACAGGTCTCTTTACAAAATAATGTCTTTACAAAGAAAAGATAAAAGAAAAGCACACTTTTTACAAACCAGAAAGCCCATTTAAGAAGAGAGAGTTTGTGTTTTTCAATGCTATTTCTGATGTATATATTTCAACCTTCTCTGATATGCTGAGAAAACAGACCCTTTTTACTAATGGAGACAATAGGCATTATTAACATTGTTAATATTGTTATTTTAATGCAAAGGGGTAATTATAGGATTTCAGTCAATCTTTGGGGGAAATTATTTCAGAATTAATGTTCTAGAAAATCTTAACTAATCTCTGACATTCAGCCAATAAGTAATTGAGTACCTACTATATGTCATGCATCGTTCGAAGCTGGGGATATACAAAGAAAGGCAAAAGGACAGTCCCTGCTCTCAAAGAGCTCACAGTCTAATGGAAGAGACCTGAAAATCAATAATATCCAAACAAGCTATATACAGGATAAAGGGAAGATAATCGATACAGGGAAAGCACTAGCATAATCCTGTCCTATCACAGTCTTTTCTGCCCTATTCACTCAAATCCTCCTAGCCCCTCCTCCCCTCTCCCTTAGGCTTCCGCACCGGCTGAACTAGTCTTCCTTCAGAACCATGGCCAGCTCTCTGACCCTTTAGACTCACGGTTCTTCCAGCACCATGGCCAGCTCTCTACCCCGCCCGTCGGAGCAGCGCAAACGCCCACGCGGCACCCTTCCATCCCCGCCCCCTCCAATCACCTCCACCTGCCACAGCCCCGCCCTCCTCCTCCTCCACCACCCACCCGGCCCCCTCCCACGTGCAGCGCCCCACCCGGCAGCCAGTGGCCCTTTAAACCAACACACAACAGAGCCACACACGCCGACGGTATCCGGGGAGGGACATAACTCGTGGCACCTAGCCAGCTCGGTCCCTGGAATGCGTTTCACAACCTTACCTCCCCCACCACACACGCAAACACGCGCGCACACATACCTCCCCCGCCACACACACGTGCACACCCGCACACATATCTTCCCCTGTGAACACACACACACACACACACACACACACACACACACACACACACACACACACACACCTCCCTCACCACACACACACATACGCCCGCCCCCAGCCCCATCTCTTTCCCCGTAGCGTTTCCTGGGCCGGGTTAGCACCAGCTGGAGTGTGATGACCAGAGCCGCACAGTTGCAAAGGGCGCCAGCTCCGACCACCGCTCCCTCCAGCCCCTTCTCTCTCTCTCTCTCTCTCTCTCTCTCTCTCTCTCTCTCTGGCAGCTGCTGAGTGCCTTCATTGCACATGGGGGGCAGCAGCGGTGCAGAGGTGGAGGCAGCGGCGGCTGCAGCCGCTGCTGAGGAAGCATATCGGGCGCCGCTGCTGCAGCAGCCACCGCCGCCGCCCTACCCCCGGCTTCCTACTGCTGCTACCACGGCCGCCGCCACCGCAGCGGCTGCCTACTCTTTTTCGAGGGGCGGGGGTCTCCGGCCAGGGGAGGGCACAACTCAACTCCACGCCTCTTCCCACCCCTCCCGGCCCAGGGCCAAGGTGCTGAAGCAGGCAGGGGCGCCAGCCTCCTCGGAAGAGCTAGTCCTCCCCGCGCCCAGCCCGGGAGGAGGAGGAGGAGGAGGAGAAAGAGGAGGAGAAGGGCGGTGTGGGAGGGGGCGGGAGTCCAGGCAGCTCGGACCCCGAAGCAGGAGCAGCAGCATCAAGAGGGGGAGGAGGGAGGAGGAGCAGGGCTTCCCTATAGGATGCCGGGCGGCGGCGGCGGCTGCTCCCTCCTCCTCGTGCGCTGATCAGCTGGCGGGGAGACGCCGTGCCCGGCTTGGGGAGGGGTGCAATTCGGGGTGTGGGTGGGCGGGCGGGGGGGGAGGGGGAGGGTGGGTGGGAGTTAGCATGCCAGTGTGACGGGTTCCCCCCAGTGCCTGCCCCGGCCCCAGCGCTGCCCCGCGCTACGCCGCGCCGGGGCTGGTGCCGGCACTGGGTAGCAGGATGGGCTGTATCCAGAGCATCACCTGCAAGGCGCGGATCCGGCGGGAGAACATCGTGGTATACGATGTTTGCGCCACCATCGACCAGTGCCCCACGCTTATCGAGGAAAGCTCGCCCATCGTCTTGCGGTACAAGACCCCTTACTTCAAAGCCTCGGCCCGGGTGGTCATGCCCCCCATCCCCCGCAACGAGACCTGGGTAGTAGGCTGGATTCAAGCCTGCAACCAGATGGAGTTCTTCAACACGTACAGCGACCTGGGCATGTAAGCGAACATAAAAAGGAGAGAGAGAGAAAATTACTAACAAAATTCTCTCTCTCTCTCTCTCTCTCTCTCTCTCTCTCTCTCTCTCTCTCTCTCTCTCTCTCTCTCTCTCTCTCTCTCTCTCTCTCTCTCTCTCTCTCTCTCTCTCTCTCTCTCCCCCCCCCCCATTCTCTTTCTAATCTTCCCTGCCGCCTCCTTTCCGCACCTCCCTCGTTCCTCTGCTTTTGTTTCAGTGACAGGGTGTGTAGGGAGGATCAGAGACGCATTTTATTATTTTTTAAAACACGTAAAATCAAGTGAAATCGTGCAGAACAGAAGGGAAAGGGGAAGGCGGGGTCAGAAAAAGAGAGAAGCGCTTTCGTGTTGCCCTGGCGGGCTTGTTTGAAACGCGGTTACCATTCTTTGCGGGTGTTGCTCTCGTTTCTTCTCTGAATCATTTGGGACTAATGCAGAAAGTGTTGGGGGAAAGAGGTGTCTAAAACATCAAATACTTGACCTCTCAGCACAAAATTCGACAGAAGGAGGAATGAGGTTATGATTCTCTGTGTTTTGTAATTTGGAGCTATAAGAGAAAGTGATTAGTCTTCAAGATGGGAACTTGATGTTTTTACCTCTGCCCTTAACGGCTGAACTTGAGTCCTAGATATCGAAGATTAGAGAGACTAGAAGGTTTTCCTTTCGTGTATTTGACAGAATTACATTTTCCTTAGACTCATAATAGTAATAAGTAGCCCCGGACAAAGTCCCGTACAGTGGAGGAAACGAGTTTGGGACTGAGGATTCTCAGGAGGGAACTAACACACCAGAGGATTGTTTATTTGTTTGTTTCTCAGTGAGAGAAATGGATGGTCCTTTTGTCTGTCGCGAGTGGGGTGGAGGGACTTCTCTTTCTCTTCAAAACTTGCACCATTTCTTCCAGAAAGTGTTTCCCAAACACCTAGCTCCGAAACCACTTTTCGGAGGAAGCCAGGAGCTGTCCAACTTCATTCAGCACTTCCCTTTACCTCGTCCCTGGCCCTCGCTCTACTGCTGAGGGTTTTCAGTAGCTTAGAGTAACTCCGAGGCTTCTCAGCTGCTTGGGGAGTCAAGAAGGAGGTATTCTTTTGGCTTTTTGAATTACTTTCTCATTTCTCCACCCCACCCCCTTTTCCCAGAACACTTCTTTCAGAATCAGGGCTCTGAGTAGGTGGCAGATACACTGGTTAAAATGTTTTGGCTGCATTGTATCTACGATTAAATTAATAAAAGCAATATCTGTGGAGCATGGTAATTATCTAGAAGTCTTTAGGGAACCCCCCAAAAAAAACTAAGCTTCATTTACAAATCATTTTCTTGAGAGAAAACATTTAGTAAACTACAGTAATGCCAAGGTATCAATAAAGGAGAGGAGAAGGAAAGACTCAGTTTAAAAAGTCATGATACTTTAAAAGAAATATTTTGGATGCCTTTTGTTCATTTAAAGATCATGGGGATTACAGGATTTAGATCAGGTAGGAAGCTTTGAGGTCATCTAGTCCAATCCCCTCATTTTACAGATGAGGAAACTCAGACCCCTCCAAAATGAAATGAATTGCTCAAGGTCACAGAGGTAGTAAGTGACAGAGCTGGGATCTATACCAAATCCTCCAGTTGAATACCAGCACTCCCAGTTACAGACTTCTCTAAAAAAAAAAAGATTTCGATGTAAGGTTTTTGTTTTGTGTTGTTTTCCAAAGCTTTTGTCTTTTTTTTTTTCTTATATTGCTCAACCAGCAAAACATGACACTTGAGAGGACTGGTTTATCTTGTACATGCTCAGTTTCCTCCATTTCTCTGGGCACTGTGTCCTCTTCTATCTGGCAGGCAGCTGGGCTGTGAGAAATCGGGGGCTTATTATTTTGGGTGAATCATGCCACTTAAACATACACACACCCTCAAAAAGAATGGTTTGTCTGAGTGCAAGTGTCTCTTAAAACTGCTTTTAGAAATCTGTTATTTTCAATCCATTCAGAGCAAGCTGAAGACTGGGCAGGGGCCTGGTGAGCGCAGGGCTGTGATAGCAGAGTGCATAACCTTGCTCCTTTGTTTTTGGTGGTTCTTGAATTGGATGAATCTATGGGGACTCCCTGAATATATGATTTGTAGAATGAATAGGAATTTTGTAGAAAAGGACATAGAGAACTAGTGAGAGACCAGCTCCATTCTCATAAAGACTGTACCAATCCCTTTCATTGCAGAGAGACTTTTATGATATAGTCTCCCTACAGTTTCTTTTCCTCAAATAACTTGTGACTGGTCTTTATATTTTATTGACTTCTCAAAAATAAAGAATTATATATGTTCATCTATGTGTACCTATGTACATACATGTGTATATATATGCACATACATGCATGTGTATGTATGCATATATTTCTCTTGAGGAGGAGCAAATTTGATATTTAAACAGAGGTTAGAGAAGTTAAATTTACTTGAAACCAATTCTACTCGTAAACTAACATTCAGATGAGCATGATAGACCTCAGCATACTATGGCCCCCGTCAGACACATGTTCCCTGAACCTTTTGCATTGAATTCTTGTTTTTGTCTAGAAGGGAATTAGGCATGTTGTTATCATTGTTGTGTTGCTGTTGTTGTTATTGGTATTTTTTTTAAATCACCTGTATATTAAGATTTATGATCTGTTTTGAGTGGGACTCAAAAGCACTTCACAGGAAATTGCAAGATGAATTCATTGCTTATAAAATTGTTTTCTTTTTTTCTGTCAATTTACTTTCTGAAAGACCCTTCTAAAAACACACAGTTAAGTGATTTGCCTTGCTTTTAAGGCCTCTTTTTAAATCTACGTGCACTATGGATACGAGAGCTATAACACAATCTATAGGTTTGCTTGTCGCCAGCAAACTTTGCCTGTGTCACTGGAGACTTTTCTGTGGAAAAAGAAACAATGAAATGGTAATTGACAATGCATGAAACTCACTACCCATCTATACCCTGTTAGGTCCATGTTAGCCAGCTCTATCTGTGGGGAAAACCCCACAGGCAGATTTTTCAGCCCTGTATGATACTTGTGTTATATTAAGCATGATACAGTAAAAGAGGATTTAAGCTGGGAAACTGCTTTTCAAGGATGATAAAAAAAAAAAGAACTGTGTCTAAGCACATCTTCCACCAGGGGAATGTTTCACAGCCAAAATTTCAAGAAAGCTCAATGTAGCGAAAGAAAAAGCAAGTGATTTAATACTCAAGGATTGAAGTGAATTTCAGCATTCTTGAACATGAAAGTTTCTAGGAGAGGTATTTCAACCAAATGAGAGTAATACTTGTTTATTTTCCATATCTAACCTTCCATTATTGGGGGTGGTAGAGTCATCCTTCTTTTTAATTTGTAATTTAGCCCTCTCTGATTACCATTAATTCAGATTTAAATAAGTTGCCATAAAATATTCTCCAGAGGAAAAAAGGTTACAGGACCTTTCAATCAGCCAACAAATGTTTGAGTATCAAGTGTGTGCAGGGCACAGTCAATGTAGGGTATATAAATCAGTGGAAGATGTAGCTCTTAGCATCTAAAAGCTTACAATCTAGTTGGAGAGATGATATACACATATGAAAAGATAATTAGGAGATAAAATATTAAGAGATCTAGAGTATCCAGGAACAAGGAGGTGTTAATCCTGTTGCTATCATCCCTGCTTATAACACATGTAGGGTATTGTGTCTAGTTCTGGTCATTACATTTTAGGAAGAATATTGATAAACTCAAGGATGTTCAGAGGGAGGTGATCATGGCCTTATGTTCATGGAATGTGGGGATTGGCTGAGGGAAGTGGGGATGTTAAGCCTGAAGAAGAGAAGACTAATGGAAGACATGTTGCCTATCTACAAGTATTTGAGTATTTGAAGGGCTGTCATGTGGAAGAATATGATATTCTCCTTGGCTTCTGAGGGCAGAAGAAAAAGAACAAGGGTTAGAAATGTGCAAAAAGGTGTAAAGAAGTCCTTGTAACAATCAGAGCTATTCAAAGGTAGAATTGGCCACCTTATGAGGTAGTGGGTTCAAGGTCTTGAAACAAAGAAAGGCAAAATAATTATTTGGCTGCTACATATAGAGAGGACACTTTCTGGTACAAGCGGACTAAATAGCTTCTGTGATCCCTTCCAACTCTTAAAAATCCTGTGTAAAATATGATGAGACCTATAGATAGTTCAGGCTATAAATGCTATTGGCATTCAAGGCAGAGAAATTCTCTAGAATAGAATGATCAAGAAAGGCTTGTAGAGGAGGTGAAGTTCCATCCATGACTTGAAAGATATGTAAAAGTAAGAGCATTGAAGAAAAAGAGTGATGGTATTCTTAGTGAGGAAAATAGAACGTGTAAAAGTGTTGAGGCAGAAATGAGGTTTTTGTTTTGTTTAGTTTATTGGCAGAGAGGAAAGACACTGAGTGGCCTGGAATGGAGATTCACGTAGAGAGATGTGAGAGTTAAAGTTTGAAAGTTGGTTGGTGCCAGATTGTAGAGGTCTTACGGTGATTCATCCAGGAAGAGAGAAGGCTGAGCAGTGACTTCTCTAATAAGATTACAAATATAAAAAGGGTTGGTATTGTAAAACAATGCAAGTAAATATTTGTCATATCCACTCACAAGAAGAAAAGGGTGGTCATAGGGTAAGATATAGGATATAATTATAAGTATAGAGTCATCGAATTAAGACATAGGATAAGAGACAAGAGCTTTTGTGTGAAGTGGGTTTAAAGCAGGAGTTCTTAACCTTGGGGTCAATGAATTCATTTTTATATGATTTTGATCATTGTCTAATATAATTCATTTCCTTTGTAATCCTATTATGTTATTGTATGAATTTAAATACATTATTCTAAGAAGGGGTTTATAGGTTTCACGAGATTGCCAAAGGGGTCCGTGATACATCAAAGAAGAACCCTTGGTTTAAAGGCCAGGGTAGAACATCACAGAGATTGTGGGATGTTCTTTCCACATGATATTTTAAAACTCATAAA